GTGTCCTTATCTGATGCCATCTTCAGGGGAAGGCTCATAATCATTATTCTCATTAAAACCACATCCATTGTCTTAGATTATCCAGTGATTAACATGACTTAGATATGATGGATCATAAGAAATAGCTGCAGTGTCATAATCTGATACCATCTTCAGGGGAAGGCTCATAATCATTATTTATGTGTCATTAGTTGTCAGGACACAATTTTCGCTAGACAATCTAATGCATTATCGATAAATAAAAAAGAAAGAAATAAGTTGGGTATTAATTAATAATTAGACTTAAGAGATCAAATAGGCCACTAACAATGGCAACAAACCCAATCTCCTCAACTTCACTTTAAATATTTCTGTGGTGGTCAATGTATACAAAAATATAATTACACCAAGTTACTTTATCCATTACAGTCACATGCTAGCTACTGTATCACAAGGCACTGTAGTCAGAAAATGCTTATCCTGTCTGCAATTATAATGTATAACTATGAACATCAAACCAAGTTATTACATATATTTATTTTATGATTCAGGACTCTACAATGGAACATGTTAACTCTTTCAACCCAGGCTCAGTCCCTGGGACTGACCTCGTAACCACTTTGTGCTTGTTATAGTTTTCAAGCTATAACTTTTAAATTAGTAAGCGTATGTTAACAAAATTTGGCAGATTATCAGTAAATATTACAATGCTTTCATATGCAAAATATCGAATTTTTTTAAATTAAGTCTTAAGGTTTTTAAAGCAATGTTTCTCTCATGTCTTTTTTTTCCTTTTCACATTTTGCATATCCAACATGCAAAGTAATTTTCTTTTTAACATTAAAAATACTTTTATGCATCAGAAAAAATTGAAATTTCATATGCGAAATCTTTATAATATTCAAATAGTTGACACGTTTCTTAAGAAAAAACTTTATCTTTTATCTGTTATTTTCAGTAATTAATCTATGTACGGGTTCGGTAAATTTGACCAATCTCGCATAAAAAATTAGGAAATAAACATAAATTATGCATCTTTCATTCTAGAATGAACACAAATTATAACATGAAAACATAAATGTTTAGATGAAATAGCTTAAATCTCATAAGATTATACATTTATATATATCTATTATTTTTATTACATTGACCTTTCAGCAGTGCCTGGCTAACAACACAGAAGTTACAATGATACGGCTCAAGTGCACTTTTAGTAGACTAGTATTTTGTAAAATACAGTCACATTTCAATTATTACACATTATATATGTATCTAGATTATTGCTATATGTTTATACTTCCGACGAAACTTTAGCGACACAAGTCCTTTCTTAAATAAAACTGGTTTATTCTTTCCGAATACAACTTTACGATACACTTAATTTCAACATT